CATCCTCAGACTCAATGGGTACCGATTCAACATCCACTTGGGCTGCAGGATCAAGCAAGGTAAAATTTAAAAGGCTTCAGAAGGGATATAGAATCAAGATAAGAAGAAGAAATACCTATCAGAAGTAACCGATTCTTCTCCTGGATCATCTCCTTCCAATTTTCAAGTTCGCCCGAACTAGGGTATGATTTGAGAGAAAGTTGACTGAAGAGGCGATCATGAGTCTCTCTCAAGTCTCCTCCATATTTCTTGGTCCATTTTTCTTCCCACCAAGAAGAGAAGAGTGAAGTGCATTCAAAATTGAGAATGATGGACTTTCGGGCAGCCTGACTCATGACTTCAAGACTACGTCGGGCAGCTCGAAAGGTCACCTCGGAAGGAGATGATAAACCAAAGGAAGTGCCACAATGAACATAGTCGAAGAACGGGACGGGAATGGCTTGCCTAAAGCCTAACTGCTGCAAAAGTTAGGGTGATACACCTCCAACCCTCGATCATATCGATTGCCCTGAACTCCCCAGGCCATGTCTCTCGGTTGAATACAACTAATAAATTTTTCCCTACAAAAGGAGGTGGCATCTTCCCCATGAGCATCTTGAAAGGCTTTGTCAGAAAACCAAGGATATCTCCTCAAGATTGACGCGCCTCATTCCAAGTCTGATCGAGTCCTACAAACTTTGAAGAAGTAAAAGCAGGCGAAGGTGGAGTGATCGATAGGAGCAGCTTCAGCTAGGATTCGGGCAGGGGCCACACCTTCTGGGAACTCTAAGTTAGCAGCCCGAAACTCTGGAAAGTACCATTGAGGCCATGTTTGTATCATCCATATGGGTCCACTCAGGTTAGTCTCAAATGGCTCGCCTTGAGTCATTTCGAAAAAAAGATGGTAAAGATGAGAAAGAAGGAATGGACCTGTAGCTACATCATCAAAGTTATGAAGAGTTTCCACCAAAGGGATCCATTCAACCTTCACTCCTTTAGACTTATTGGGGAAGACATGTTTGTTGAGCCAGTATAAGAGGAAATACATGTGCTCTTGATCTTTATCAACATGAGAAGAATCTGCTCCAAAATTCTCCTTTACGAAAGGGATGAATCCCTTGACGGAGGTCCCGTAACTCTTGAAGGTTGCAGCATTATATTCCAAGGAAAGGAAAGAGGCGGATGAACCTGAGCTTTCAGCAATTGAGGGGGGAACCCAGTCTTGAGTAACATCCACTATCCTGCCCGATGGCCTTAGCCCGAAGACCTGGGCCATATCAAGAACAGTCGGAGACATGGGACCCATACGGAAGTCAAAAGTGTTTGTGCCCGAATTCCAGAAAAGAAGAGAAGAAGCAAGCAGTTCGGGCTTGGGAATAATGGTAGTTTTTTAGAGCATTATCAATTCATAAATGTCGTTATTCATCCATTTTTTCTTAAAAATTGGCTCTAGTTCATCAACCCATTGAGCCCAAGTCGGATCATTCATCAAAGGAAAGCCTTGACGATATGACGACCACTTGGATGAGGAAATGCCCGACTTAGCCAAAAAGGGATTTGGGGAAAACCAATTATCCCTGGGCATATTGTCCTCTATCACTACAGGGACCCGGGAAATCCATGCGGGACCCAACGATTGTACCGCATGCACTTCAAAGAAAAGCTCAGAATATAAACCTGCCCGAGGGCGATGCAGTCCGTTGAGTAAACGGCGCAAAGTGGCGATGCCTTCGCCAGATTCATAGGATAGATGGATTTGGCTGGATCTTGAAGCCATTTGATAAAGTTTATAAAAGGAACGACAAGGAAGACGACAAGGGTAGAAGATGTCGGGCAAAGAGCAGAAGAGAGTTAAAAGATTTAGAAAAGTAAAACGTCTGGGAAGTTAGGAAATTTTCAATTGCAGAGGAATTTCGTGCTAAGAATGCAGAGGATTCGTGAGTCAGTGGAATGACCGCAGGAAAGTGATGATTATCTTTGAAAAGTGTGCGAATCCCGGGAGAGAGAGACGTGGGTATTAATGGGGAGCTTTTCAATCAATATTGGCGCCTGGAATTCCAGTCTGAATATTGATTAAAGGGGGCACTGTTTGGGTTAAAACTTGAACTTTGGGCTCAAGAAGAAGTTAGCCCAAAATGAGGTCTGGAAAGGGGAAAAGCCCGAAGCCCAGCCAAAGCCCAGAAGGCAGAAAAGGCCTTTCCTGACTAGGTGCAGATCATTTGCACCACTTGCTCACCTGCCTAGAGACCAAGTGGTATAGACCGGCCAGCTAATCAGCCCAAAAGCACTTTACAGTGGCAATACAAGTAAATAGCTGATGAGTCACTACCCTTCAAGCTACATTTGGGCAAGATTACTGCTACAGGAGGCCAAGCCGAAGTGTCTATAAAAGAAGAAAGAGAAATCAGAGATAAAGACACTCAATCAAACAAACAAATACAAGCACAAACTCTGCTCAAAGCCAAATTTTCCTTCAAACGAAGCTGTAGTCAGCCCAAGCCTTCATCCCTTTCGGGATAAACTCTCACCAAAAGCCCTTGTAATAGCTCTGCTACCTTGTCCTAAGCTTGCTGTAGTATCGATCTCTTTCTGTAAACTCATCTCCCTACCCCCCTTTCTAAAGCTCTCAAACCCCTTGATAAACCACAAAGATAGGAAGTTGCAAGACGATCAGCCTTGCCCTACAAGCCTTGCCCAACAAGCCCGCCAGTGAAGCAGAAGCCCGACAGAAAGCATCAACCGGCGCCAACCTCTCGGGGAGCTGTGTGCTCGTCGGCTAGGAGACATCCCCGACGGAAATTCTAGCCACGAACAGGAATTATATAATCATTTAGTTGTTTACTTACAAGGAATAAGAATTCAAATCATTTAGATTTTGACTTTTGTGTATACTAAAATATATGAATGAGAATCACTTCACTTCTAAATTTTCTCATTTGTTTACTAACAGTTAAGAAATCGAGTAAATGCTAACTTCTCTTTAAAATCTGTAATCAAATACCTAAATATTAGGAAATATCAAGAATGAATCAATTATGAGGGACCAGGTGATCCGATTCTCTTTCCTTACATTTTTTATTCCTAAATTTCTCCACCATTTTTTTTTCTCAGTTACAATGATTGACATTTAAAATAAACCTTAACATTTAGTGATTTAGTGGAGTCGATAATCATCCATGCGTATACCTCCTCCAAATTTCAAAAGATGGTCATTAAAAAAGAATTTATCAACACGAAGTTTGTGGAGTCAAGAATCATCCATGACCACATGTTCCTCCAAAATACCGTGAGCATGGTTAAAAAGCAGATTTATTAACGCTAAATATAAGTTGGTGGAAGAGTGATCCCTCAGTATTTGCAAATAACAAGTAAGCGTCAATAATAACTAATTCTTGAAAACAGGGAGCAACAGTACCTTTCTATATAATATTTCATTAATCAATTAAAACAAGGAACGTCATTTACAATTCTATGATTACAAACGCAACAGAATACCTCTTTATATAATCAAACCCTTCGTAATAATGGCCTTTGCAACTTGGGCTTTATATCTTTCTATCGAGCTATCAAAATTGCTGATACCCAAGGCCCAACGGGACAAAAGCCCAATGTCCTGTTAGCAATAGTGCCTGAATTTGTGTACATTGATTTGAACTTCGGTCGCTAATATTAAAAATTATGGTTTCCCCGTCCTCTAATTTTGCTCAAGAACGTCTCATTAGTGAATTAAAAGTCATAGTGGTAAGATTTTATCATATAGATATAAGTAGAGGAGAGTTCAGAATTCTCACATTGGGGAGTTCAAGGCAACATCTTTTTTCATTTTATTCATTGAGGTATTTCATCAAACACTTGGTGGGCTTATTGTCGTCAGACAAACCATGTTGTACACATGTCAATAGATATCGACATATGCTGAAGCAATCTAATGAGTGATATCGAGAGAATTCATCCAGCGTTGTTGACGCAACCCTTCTAAATATGCCTAGTAGGCATTACAATAAATACTTGATGAGCACAAAGAATCCATACAAAACATTCGGAAGATCTTTAGTAGACCTTCACATGCATATTTCTCGAGTGATCCTGAGGCATCCGCCCTTGAGTATAAGATCCTAAATAATGTTGAATAAAAAAATGCGTAAATGCATGAGTAATTTCCTAGAATTGGACCCTTACAATAGACTTTGGAAGTCCATAGGTCTATTCCTTCATCAAAGAAAATATCTACTTGATTTACTGCAGAAACCTAAACTGGACCACAGTGGTCAACCTTTGCCAAATCCAACAGAGTACAGGTCCATTGTAGGAGGTTTACAATACCTTAATTGGATCAGACCTGATATCTCCTTTGCAGTAAATCAAGTATGCCAATTCATGCACACTCCTATTGACATTCATATGCAAACAGCCAAAAGGATTCTTCAATTGCTCAAAGTTACACTTTCTCATGGGTTCTGGTTTAAAAAGGGATCTTTCAATTTGTTAGCCTATTCAGATGCAGATTAGGCTGGCTGAACCTTTGATAGGAGATACACTAGTGGATTCTATGTGTTTGTAGGCACTAATTTTATTAGTTGGAGTGCCAAGAAACAGCCCACAGTGGCTCGTTCATCTACTAAGGTAGAATGTAGATCTTTGGCACACACTGCAATAGAGATCACCTTGGATTTGAAAAGTGTTCAAAGATTTTAGCCTTCCTCTTTCCCACAAACCTACCATTTGCTGTGACAATATTTTTGCAATATATCTTGCTTCATATCCAATATTCCATGCTAGGACTAAGTATGTGGAGATCGATTACCATTATATTCAAGAATTTGTTCTTCCAAATCTTCTTCAAGCGCAATACGTCAATAATCAAGATCAAATCGCAAATATTCATACCAAATCCTTGTCCAAAAACAGGTTTCTGTTTCTTCAGTTGAAGCTCTCCCGTGGAACCTCTGGTTTTTCCAAGTTTAGCTTGAGGGGGCGTAAAGATAAAGATGTCTACTCATGACAGTTGTCATTTCCTAGTGTAGTCAGCAAAGCAGTTTATTACAACCCCGCGTAATTAGATAAGGGCTGTTAGAAATTCTTCTGTGAATAGCGAATTGCTTTACATATACATTTCTGTAAGACTTAGAACACTTAACAACAAATGTCCTTTCCACAACTGACTCCTCTCGCAACGACGTCTTACAGAATTAATCTCACACCAAAAGAGATTTCATCTTCTCAGTTCTTACTAGAGTACACATCTCTATATACATGTCAGGATAGAAACATATATACTAATAAATCTTATAACAATATGTAACTTTCCACAATTTCCTACAGTTCATAACCCGGAAATCTAGAATTTTCGGGTATATAAAGATCAAACCAGAGGCAAGCTGTTCCGGCAAGACCTTGAAAGAGAGAGTAGGCATATTCGGCCCCATGTGTGTGTCCCGCAGTCGCAAACTCTCCGGCATTATGATACAAGAAGCTTGCAAATGCCCTTGCTCTCTCTTCGTATATGCTCTCTCCAGTCAGACGATACAGAGAAAGGAAGGCATAGGCATTCCCAGCCACACCATCAGCAAGTCCTACCTTCTTCAGTAAACCGTTCTTCCACACAACTTCTCCTGCTTCTATTGCAGCATCGCGAAATTCCCGATCACCTGGAAACACCTGAAGAAAGTGAAGGAACAACTGTTAACTCATTTGTCTTGCAGACAGGCAGAAAATACGCACATAAAATGACCATCCTTCTGTGCTAGAAACAAACTTTGAGAATTTGGGATATATGAAAAAAGGTCAAGGATCAGAACAAACAATTCTCAGCACATCTTGCAGAAAATAAATTAGGTAATCGACTGAAGGGACTATATTTTCGACCCACATTTACTAACATGGTGGTCTTTAAATGTAGTCTAAATAGAAAACACGCATTATTTCAATCAACTGTTAATTTATGTATCTAAAAAATAATCGACTTTAGTTACCACATCAACTTCATTTGATCAATATTATGGTCAAGGGTTATGCACATCGACTTATAGTTAGTTCTCACGAATTTTGTTGTTTCTTTTTTTAATTTGGAAAATGTCATACATGATATTTGAACCAAGGACTTTCTGCATCTAACAAAGTGAATACTAGGTCTCACTAAACCGATTGATCTTTTGACATTACAACTCGCTCATCAAAACATATATCCAATTACTTTTACTACCGAATGTGAGAAATGCGTTAAGAAGAGTAAATTTACAAAAGAGCTGCCACACCAACCTGAGATGCCTTGCACAAGGTTATGGCCATGCCAGCTGCACCATGAGACCACTGCACAAACTTGTCTCTAGGGTTTCCTTCACTTGACGGGTAGTTTCCACTGTGAGGGAACCTATTAGCCATCATATATCTAAGCGTTGCCTTCACATCGTCAGCATCCTCTTTGCAAAGTGGGAAGTGAAGCAGCACTTGCAAAATTCCAGCCACGCCATTGGCTGCCCCCAAATACCTAGTCCCGTGCCACCTGAACATGAGCGGGCAGGACGGGTTATGAGATGAGCCTGCCCTACCACCAGCTAACACAGCATCCACAACAGGCATTAGAATATTATTTGGCAACTTTTCTTGTCCAAGATACTTGTTTATGAACAAAGCTGCCCATAAAAACCCAGCTCTCCCGTAGAGAAGATCGTACGACATTCCAAAACCACCTTCCTCCGGCCCAACAGACAGGGCCTTCTCTTGTGCCACCTGTACATAGTCAACCAAATAGGTCAGCGAGGGAAAACAATACAAGAGCTACAAATGAGAGATTCTCTCATGTAACTAATTCATGACGTCATATTATTCGTTGGCAACACATCAATCCAAAGTAACCATCCAGCCTGAAAATACTTTCGAGAAATGTGTATATAGCCTTGGACAAACTTAAGTAATAGACACGTAATCTTGACTTTTTGTCCAATATAGAAGGTATCCTACCACTCTTGATGACATAATAATTAAGAGGCATTTAATCTCACTTTTCGTAAAATTAGTGTTTTGAAAAGTGCGCATTGGGGCGCGCCTAGGCGGCCTTGAGGCAAGGCAAAGCTGGAGCAATTTCGCCTCTGCTTTGTGGGAGTCGGTGAAAAACTCGCCTAGGCTTGTCGGGGTGCACCTATGAGGCTAAGGTGTACTTTAGGGCATTTTGAGGCGGCCGAAATCTTGCCTGAAATTTTGGAGATCCTGAAGTCGAAACTGGGCATTGGTGCAGCGACTACCCTCTGGTTTTCTTTAGTTGCAAAGGCGGTGTCTTCACGAAGAAGACGACTACGAATAAAAGAAAATATTTTTTTTTTAAATACTTGGCTCAATTTACGACACCGTTTTGACCCAATCTTTTAAAAAAAAATTGGCCCAAAACGACGTCGTTTTGGCCAAGTCTAATTTTATTTTTAAAAAATTATAACCCCGAGCCTCTTTCCCCATCCCAATACCCGACCCCCATCTTCCCAATCACGGTTGACACAATTCCATCCCTAATTCCACAATTCCCCAATTCCGCAAATCCTAAATTCTCAATCCCAATCCCAATCCCATATTTCAATTTTACCCGAATCTCGTACTTCAATTTGTTTCAAAATTCTCCACACCAACATAATTTGTTTCAAAAGTCAAGTAAATTTTTTAGTATTCTAATCTCAATTTGGTCTTGAGTGCTTGTTTGATTGTTGATTAATTATTTTACAAGTATTATATTATATGTATTTATAAAAAAATTAAATCCCGTGAGGCTTCGCCTCACAACTCACGCCAAGGTGGAAGCTATCCATGAAACACCTCCGCCTTTTAAAACATGAGTTTCATGTGTTTTTATTAGCGCCTAGAAATAAACAAAAGTTCAACAAAAGGAAAATCTGAGTATATTTTGGCAGGAAGCTTTTGATCACATTGGTCACCAACTTGGTGGAGAGATTGGGTATTATCTTTGGCACTATTTGATATTCATTGTAAAGTCGTATGGCGTCCAACCATCAGTTAAAATCACATGCACTTCTGAAATCCACAGACATACAACAGCAATACCGCAAATATCTTTCCACCTATCTACCTAGGTCTAGGTCCACACGAGGAAATTTCAACTATAATTTCAGGGTTTTGTTACTATAATTTCATTGGTTTGAATTTTTTTTAATAAATTTGTAGTAACGTCACTAACAACACCGTAATTTTATCTTAAATTTAATTTAAATGAATACGTGTGAATCCTACCAACCTCTTTTGGCGTAGTGAGGATTCCTTAGTGCAAGCACTAAGTAAGTCCCCAAATCATTATTCATTAGCTTTCCCATGGGAAAGTACATGACTAATTCCTATAAATACAATGATAAGTTACAAGAACACAACCCAAAAGTAAAGGAATAACTTTGTTTAGACTTTAAGAGGCAATTACGCATCCTTTTCACAAAGTAGATGCTCCAAAGTCCAATTAATTAGAGAATTAATTAAAACAAATCAGGTTAAGGTGATAAGGTTTCATAGCAAGTTGGGTTCATTTTCGTACAAGTAACATATATGACTTTGGTTGGTTTTGGAGAAGGAATATATATTTAAAATTTTGATGACAATAAATCACTTGATGTGTGTGTGTGTGTATTTTCTAAGAAATATACACATTTCTTAACAAAAGCTAACAATTTTTTTCTTTTTGCAGGAGCCACAAAATTAAACCAAATAGTGTGGTGGTTTGATAGTCAACAAGTCTCAAAACCGTGATGAAACCTAATTCTGATACCATGAAAATGAAAGATTAAAGAGAATAAAAGCATCATTCTTTAGTAAAGCATCACATGGAAAGCATATTCCCACATATCTTGTATGTTAAGTTAACACTTTGGTTCTGTTTGAAAATTATTGGTAATCTCATGACAACGATGACCCGATAATTGAGAGAAATCCATGATAAGATTGTGAGATATTTTATCAGCTCCTAATTAACAAGAGAATAGATTACTTGTGTTTTGAGAGAGAATAGATTACTTGTTAAAGTGAATGGAAAGTTTTCATGATTTTTCAAGAAACTCAACTTGACAGACTAGAAGATTTAAACAATAATACTTGAATGTAGGGAACTCGACTCACAATGAATTCACAATAAATAAAAAATAAAAAATAAAAGATGTTAATTACAAAAATTATTTTTTATTAATTAATGCGGGAAGACCATTTGAGCTGATGAAATTTCCAAGTATTTAGAAGAGAAATTTCCTTCTCATAATCGTTCTGGTTTCTTATTTTTAGGTCTTGCACTTTTCTGTTTTCTTATGTGTAAATAAAGGCAGGAGAAACAATTTTCTTACCCATATTTTAGCAAAAGCATGGCACTCAAGATTCAAAATGATTCAAGTTCCTATTCCTTGTAAGTAAACCTACATTTAAATGTTTAAATCGACACTATTTGACATTTGACATTGCTAATGGACTAAAATTAGGCTTGACAATTTCTTGCACGAGTAATCCAACACGAAAATAAAAAGTATGATACCAAAACGATACGAACAAGACTCAAGTCATTAGGCACGACAATTTATTCTATGCCCCGTTAACCTAACACAGAATGACACGACGAGCTAACGAATTGAGTCGTTATCAAGTCACTTGTTAAGAACTCGTTAATATAAGGGGTTTAACATGACACGACATGTTAAGATAACGAAAACGTCACGAACAAGATAAACACGACTCGTTTGCCAAGTCTAACTAAAATTGCTAATTAGACTACTTTCCATATTTGATATTTCTCGAGGTATCAACAACGTATCCAAATAACAAACATAGGTGATAGAAGCTTTGACAATACTAAAAAAGGCGACAGAATGGCAATATCAGTTAGAAATAAATACCTCAAGAAACAGATTCAAATACAGGTTACGTCTTTCATGGTCCCCAATCAAATTGGCCACCACAGCTCCTAGGGCGTACACTCCTCCTCTACCACATAAAAAAGTCACGTGCCTGCATAAAAACAAAATTGCAAATCGATCAAGACTCGCTGCTTAAAATATCCTTTTGCCACTAATTAGTGTTCGATAGGGATATCACACTCTCGTTTTCTCTTCTGCTACCGATATGTTTTTTGTATGTTTTATTCTCTTTTGATTTATTCTCACTGCAAATAGGCATAAAACTAAAACACACTAAGTGAACGAAACCATATCACTTTCGCCTTGTACAACGTCTTTTCTGACATTTAAGCTCCAACAAATCACCTAACTTGTTGACCTTTGTTAGTTGAAAAATCACGTTCTTGCTTACTACATTCAAGTTTTCTCATTTTCTACGTGTATTGTAGCATGAGATATTAGAACAATACGTATTATACGAGAGCAACTTAAATGCAACGGAATTATGAAGACAGCGAGTGTAATAATACAACGGAATTACAAAGACCTTGACATTTTGTAGACCGAAATGTGTCACGTAATTGCTTCCTCCATTCCGCGTAGGTTATAATCGATTTGTTCGGGAAAATAATTATTACCTGGTTGACGCACTTGCGACAGCCCGGCACTTGTCGACGATCTCAGCGCACAGCACCAAGTCCTGCCGGTTACCGGCGGCCTCGTACGACCTCAAGCACGTAAAAGCCGTACCAAGAAGACCCGTATAAACTGTCGGATCCAACACCATACCCGTAGGCGTACCCGAATCATGCCCTCCTTCCCACGTAGCCTGCACCACCTATATCCCCCAAAAAAAATAATAACTACAATTTGGAAATAGCAAGCCGTGGATTGTTCGGGTGGTTATCACCTTCCTCTCGTATTAATATAGAATATCATTTATAATTAAATAAATAAATAAATAAAGCTCGGAAATTGTACAGTAAGGTTTTAGTTCGTTAATTAATGATGGAGCAAATTAAGCAAGATTAAGCTAAAAATAAATAATTTGAAGAGTTCAGGTAAATGTAAACCTGATCCTTGAGAGTCACCGCCGCTCTGAGAAAAGTCCCGCTCGAAGGTGACAAGGTCGGAGCCGCTGGATCGACCAAATCCAGCCGTTCGTTGTTGGCATCATCGTGTTCCTCCGGAGAAGGGGCAAACTCCACGCCAAACGACATGTCGTTTCTCTGGACTTTCCTTCAGGTATGGGCTTGAGTTTCACGTACGGCAGCAGAGTATTCCTTACTGTTATGTAGAGGAGGAAGGAGAGAGGGAAAGGGGTGGAGGTGTGATTATATGGAGCCGCGGTGCACTGTGGAGATGATTCCCCGCGAACCAAGTACGCTTATTAAACCAAACAAGTCGAAATTATCCTAATATTTATATTAGCGTTGGGTGCATGTGAATAATGTCAAATTAAAAGGATATTCATTACAAAAAAAAAAAATATTAAAAAGGGATCAGTATTTCTTAGAGCTATCTCCAATGATGAAATGCACATTTATTTATTTTTCTGGGGGCATAGATGTGAGTTATCTTTTGACGGGAGAGATGTTAGGAAAGTTGAGGTTTTACAATAAAATTAATTAAATTAATGTTATCAATGAATTTTAAATTTCAGTAATTTTTTTCAGCCTAGATGAAAATGTTACATGTTTCCATTTGAGAACTATTCAACTAATTAAAAGTGTAAATACTCATTCTAAGACATTTTATATCTCCATTAGACTCATTTCAACCTTTGGATTAGAACTTAAAATTTAAATTTTAAATCTCCCCCCAACTGGCTCTAACTCTTGGTTCAAAATCAATTTTGGGTTAAAATTAATTTGTGGTAAATGCCCTAATCCACTGCATGCTCGTGAACGCGCCAGAAAAGGAGAGCAAATGAAAAGCAACGCGCCAAAAGCAAGGCAAAGGGGGCATTGATGTGCAGAAGTGGGGCCCAACTTGATACGGTTGTCGGTCACCCATGTGCAATCCCAATGGCTCCATTTTGATCGGACGGCATGGAGATAAACCTTTAACTCGTTGGAGAATAAAAATATATTTCTAGATTAAAATCTAAATTTTTTGAATTAAAATTTTTATATTTTAACACAAAGATTAAAGATGGTTTTATAAATCCGTTATTACATAAAGGGATGGGAAAGAATGGTGAAGCTCTACAATACACCCATCATAACAATCGAATATCGAATTTTTAATTTATTAGAATCAAATAAAAAAAAAACATTTCACGTATAAGTCTAAATGAAATACTACTAAAATGTAGTCACCAAGTAAAATTATTTCTTATTGTTATTCCTACACGAATAAAAAATACAAAAACAAAGATAAGTTGATATGGTTAGTTGTGGGGACCTGATTCCCCAATAATTCAGGTTGTAATGATACACGGTTTTAATGTGATGTGAATTGACAATTAGAGAATTATAAAACAAAAGTCAATGTGAACATGAACATTTTGGATTGAAAAATGGACTAAGATTCTCTCCCATCTTCTTTACAATTCATTCTTTTCATTCTTTTTATATTTTATATTTTGTCTTTCTCTTTCTATTAAAAATTAATATAAAATATTGACATGGTTTAACCATGACCGATCAAATAAAAGGAAAAAAAAAAGGGGAGGGAAAAAAGATGGGAGAAAATCATACTCCTTGAAAAATAGTAGAAGGGCCACATATTAAACTATCTTTTGTAATTATATGATGTAATGGTTTACGGTTTGGATTTCTTTTTAAATAATTTAAAAAATCTAACCATCAATTACTACATCATATATTTGCAAAAAAAATAATAATTTAAAAGTTTAAACTCTTTAGCATCACTATTTTGGACCCATGACTCCAACTCCCAAAATGGATCCTTCCATTAGAGCAACTCCACCCCTAAAAAATAAGTTGGTCTAAAGTCCATTTAATCCACTCCAATAAATAGTAATTGACCAAGTGCATCTTCACCCCTAAAACTAAATAGCCTAGTCCATTTTATTAAAATAATATTTTTATTTTTATTTTCTGACTTTTTTTTATAAAAAATTATTATTAATTTCTGACATTTTATTTATTTATTTTTAAAGTTTTTGGTTGAAAAATTTGGACCGTTGATCTGAAAATCAAACGGTCCAAATTGTGCCACATCACTAGCCGTTGGGTTTGAATTTCAATTTTTTTACCGTTGGAAATCCAACGACCGAGGCTTAGCCACGTGGCCCATGTCCTGCGCCCTTTTAGTGCGCCTGCAGTGCGGGGGCAACGTGTCGGGGAGACGCACCCACGCTCGCGTGTTTCCCACGCGCCTGATGCAAAAAAATTGTATATTGTCCATTGACGTAATGTTGGCGTCAGCATGACGCTAGATAGGCCAATTTCTACCTCAGCCCATTTTAGGCCGGCCTACGAACTGACTTGGACTTTGAGCTAGCCTATTTTTAGGGGTGGACGGGTTTTTTTGGGTGCCAGCCTAAAAGATAGGGTTGGACTTGCTCTTATGTTTCAACAATGTGACATGTAGGCCTGTTTTGAGACAAGATGGTCTGGTTGTGTCCTGCTGCTAACAAAAAACAAAAGGCATCCTATAAACAATAAGCATTCATAGATATGTTATTTGAGAATATACGAGAGTCTCGTTCTCTTAGACTTCGGTTTATAAAAACTATGGGCACTAAATTCGATTTTAACTTAATGGTGAAGGAGAAAATACGGTAAAACAGCCATTGGATTAAGATCAAACAGTGAGTGGTCATAATTTAATTGAACCATGGCTCTAGAATAGGCGGGGAGAATATGTTAGGGTTTTCTCTGTTAGTTGAGTGCTCAGAGTACAGCATAATATGATTATATTAAAGCTAACTATATATGATTATGGTTTTAGGGCCCCTATCCCCACATCACACGTAAAGAGACGTGTTGAAGGCATTCTTAGGCTTTTTCATACATTGCCAAATAAATGTACACTTACTTGATTCTCAAACCACTGTTGATTGCTTCTTAGCACTCCAACCGGTAAGAGAATGGCCGGAAAAAAAGGTACGAAAACCACACGTTCATCTTTTATCCTAAGAACATCTCGCCCAATCAGCATACGAAAATGAATCGACATACTAATGAGCCGTTTGAGAACTATTATATTTTCAATTTGTTCAAAAACTGAAAAAGCTTTTGATAATTACTCTTAAGTTTTCAAAAAAAATGAAAACTGAAAGCCAAAATCAACATGACCCGACATGAGCCACAAGGCGAAAACAAAATTTATGCAGTTTCATGTCATGTTAAGGCTTCATGCACAACTTTACAAAGTCTACATTGGAAGAAATGGAACCATTTAGTCCAGTGAACTCATTACCTAGTAGCTCCATGAAACGTAATGTCTACAAAATCATCCGCAGGTATATGGAGACTGATCGTTTTGAGCATCAAATGAATCTTATCAATATCTGGATGAGATACATCCCCTCCCAAGAAAATGTGCACCTTATTCCCAATCTCTGTCCAGCTCTGTGCCTGTTGCTTCTTCACTCCATGCTCTTTCATCAGACTTCTCATTCTTGCAACATCTCTCCATTTTCCAGCAGCTGCGTATATGTTAGACAACGCGACGTAAGGCCCAGAACTACGAGGATTCAAGTGTAATATATTCTTTGCAGCCAGCTCCCCTATTTCCACGTTTAAGTAAACGCTGCAAGCTGCAAGAAGAGAGCCCCATATTCCAGAGTCTGCTTGAAATGGCATCTCTTGGATCATCTTGCAAGCCTTCTCTAACTGGCCTGCTCGACACAAAATGTCAACCAAGCAAGCATAATGCTCCGATCTAGGGGCAATGTTGTAGCTGCTGACCATCAAATCAAACAACTTCAAGCTCTCATTTACCTTGCCTGCATGAGCACAGGCAGATAGCAAGCTAAGAAATGTTATACCATCTGGTTTGAAGCCGTGCACCACAGTCTGGTTGAAGTAATCAAGAGCTTTCTGATAGAGACCATGCTGTGCGAATGCAGCAATAATGGTGTTCCATGAGACGAGGTCTGGACACTCAATTTGTTTAAATGCTAACTCGGCATCAAGGATTGCACCACATTTACTGTACATGGTAATCAAAGCGTTATATAGGGAGAGGTTTGATTCAAATCCATGTTTAATAATGAGCAGATGAGCTTGTTTTCCATCTTTAAGAGATGTAAGACTAGAACAGGCAGTCAGAACCGAAACAAGGGTCCATTTATCTGGATGCAGACCAATCTTAAGCTTTTGTGAGTGTAACTTCAGTGCTTCCTCTCCACCGCCATTTTGTGCATAGCCTGTAAATGAAAACAGGCATGTCAGGGGACAAGTGATTAGGACAATGCTTTAAAAACAGACACAACCACAACAAACTAGTTAAGGTCTCAAAAAAAATTTGAACAAGTGAAAGCCTGCTAAATTAGGACAATGCTTTAGAAACTCAAGTAACATTTCCTAAACATCAGACGAGGCAGATGCTGACCTAATTTTACTAGTAAGTGCTAGCAAACCAATGTAACGAGCTCAAGTAAAATACCCAACTAAGAAATTTTAGGTATATCGTGATGGATGAGTAATTGCACATGGCATACCTGTTATCATTGCATTCCAAGAGACATGATCCTTGCGCTGAATCTGATCAAATAATGCTCTCGCATCTTCCATCTTTCCCTCCTTAGAATACCCCGTGAGCATAGCTGTCATTGAAACCGCATTTTTCTCCGGCATCTGCTCATACAATTCCCGTGCTTCATCAAATTTGCCGTTCTCGACATACCCACTGATCAGCACAGTCCAAGAAACAGCATTCTTGCGAGGCATGCAGTCAAACAGTGCCCTTGCCCGCTCTATCTCTCCTTTCATCGCGTACCCATCAATCATTGCAGTATAAGAAATAACATTCCTCTTCGGCATGTCTTGAAATATCCTACTAGCTTCCTCCAGCCTAGCACATTTCACAAACCCCGAAATCATAGCGTTCCAAGAAGCAATATTTCTTTCTGGCATCTCCCGGAAGTACATGAAAGCCTCGTCGACCATCTCATTCTCGACACTCCCGGCTAACATGGAATTCCAGGACACCACATTCCGAACAGGCATCAGCCCAAACAATCTCTTGGACTCTCCAAAATACCCATTTTTCCAGTACCCAGTAATGATGGCGTTCCATGTAACTACGTCTTTTGTGGGCATTTCATCGAACAATTGGCGGGCGGCTTCAATCTTTCCCGCTCGTGATAACACACCAATCTTGACATTGCAAGTATATACATCATAAGTTGAGAAAAGCTTCAACCGTGGAGAAATCAAGCAGTGAAGGATGCAACAAGTATCTGCACTGAAATTGACATGGGCACGGACACGGACAGGAAATCGAACAAATCGCATTAAACAGGCAACGTAAACATGATTATTAGCGGCTTTGGCAAAACCCCTTATTAACTTTCCTTCAGTGAATAAGGTTGGGATAGTTTTGGAAAATTTGACAAATCTCCGAGAATTATGAGGATGTATGTATTATGCATCTCTGCCTGTGTAAGTTTATCTTACATTGCCGGTCCCAAACCCGGGTAAAGGAGGAGGGGAAGGGTGTCAGGTAATCGACAGCCAACACTCTTCGGTTACGTCGAATACTTATGAAAATGAATCCAGAACGAAATCGCGCTAAAGCTAGAGCGTCACCTGTAAGTGGCGCGCTGTGTGGCCCGAGCACAGTGATAAGTGAGCAAGGGTCGCTGTATCTCCATCGGCACTCGGATGCAGTGTTAAATGAGCAAGGGGGCCATAGAAACTTATTTTCGAACGACTCCACTCAAAGTTGTTTGGGAGCATATGCTCCTATCAACTTTACACAGGACACACAAAAGAAGTACTTTGATCTTATTGGACGGGGGAGGGTGAAGAAGCTATGACAGAAGGGTAGAGTTCAAGAGAGTAGAATGCGTTTAGGAACGTGGAATATAGGAACCTTAATGGGAAAATCTATGAAAGTAGTGGAAGTTATGGTGAGGAGAAGGATAAATATTATGTGCCTACAATAAACTAAGTGGGTTGGTCTTAAGGCAAAGGATCTAGAAAACTCAGGGTTTAAACTTTGGTATTCGGGCACAAATAGAACGAGAAACGGTGTTGGCATCATTGTGGACAAGACCTTGACACAAGATGTTATAGATGTCAAGAGGGTAGGAGATAGAATCATGGCAATCAAGATTGTAATAGGACAAGAACTCATCAATGTGATTAGTGCGTACGCACCTCAAGTAGGGTTGGATACGAGTTCGAAGGAGAAATTTTAGGAAGACCTTGGAGACTTGGTGCAAGGAATTGCCTAGACAGAGAAGTTATTTATAGGAGAAGATTTAAATGGACACGTGGGCAAGGAGACAGGCAACTATGGAGGTTTTCATGGTGGCCATGGTTTTGGGGAGAGAAACGAGGATGGGGAAGCTATTTTGGATTTTGCAATGGCATATGATCTCTTCTTAGCCAACACCTTCTTTAAGAAGAGAGAAGAACATGTGATCACCTACAAGAGTGGGTCGTCAAAAACACAAATAGATTTTCTTGTAATGAGGAAAGGGAATCGTATAACTTGTAAGGATTGCAAAGTTATACCGGGAGAGAGCTTGGCTAATCAACATTGTCTGTTGGTGATGGATGTACATATCAAAAGAGTGAGAAAAAAGAACAAGACTTGTAAGTGCCCAAGGACTAGATGGTGGAATCTAAAATGAGAAAAACAAGTCATTTTCAAAGAGAAAGTAATCATCCAGTGTGTGTGGGATAGAAAGGGGGAAGCTAGCCAAATGTGGGATTTCATGGCTAGTTGTATCCGAAAAGTAGCAAAAGAGGTATTAGGAGAGTCCAAGGGCTTTGCTCCACACCAAAATGAATCTTGGTGGTGGAATGAGGAGGTACAAACAAAGGTGAAGGCTAAGAAGGAATGTTGTAAAGTCTTATACAAGGATATGACCGATGAAAATGGTGAAAGGTATAGAAGAGCGAAGCAAGAGGCGAAGAAAGTTGTGAGAGAGGCGAAGAAAGTTGTGAGAGAAGCTAAGTTAGCGGCTTATGATGATATGTATAAGCGACTAGATACCAAAGAAGGAGAGTTGGATATCTATAAACTAGCTAGAGCAAGGGAAAAGAAGACAATGGACCTAAACCAAGTGAGGTGCATCAAAGATGAGGATGGAAAGGTTCTTGCTACAGAGAACGCGGTCAAAGACAGATGGAGAGGTTATTTTCATAATCTTTTCAATGAAGGACATGAAAGGAGTACTTCTTTAGGGGAGTTGAGTAACTCAGAAGAGTGTAGAAACTACTCATTTTATCGTCGAATCAGGAAGGAAGAAGTGGTTGTAGCTTTGAAGAAGATGAAGCATAGAAAAGCAGTGGGCCCAGACGATATACCGATCGAAGTGTGGAAAGTCTTGGGAGAGACAGGTATAGCATGGCTCACTGACCTTTTCAATAGGATTTTGAAAATGAAGAAGATGCCAAATGAGTGGCGAAAGAGCACTTTGGTACCTATCTACAAGAATAAGGGCGACGTACAAAATTGCATGAACTATAGGGGTATTAAACTAATGAATCATACAATGAAGCTCTGTGAGAGAGTCATTGAGCATAGATTGAGGCAAGAGACACGGGTTTCGGACAACCAATTTGGGTTCATGCCAGGGCGCTCAACCATAGAGGCAATCTATCTCTTACGAAGATTGATGGAAAGATATAGATATGGGAAAAAGGATTTACACATGGTCTTTATAGATTTAGAAAAAGCGTATGATAGGGTCCCAAGAGACATTCTTTAGAGGATTTTAGAGAAGAAAGGAGTACGAGTAGCATATATCCAAGCTATAAAGGATATGTATGAAGGAGCAAAGACTGCCGTAAGAACTCATGAAAGACAAACCGAAAGCTTCCCCATAACTGTAGGATTACATCAAGGCTCATCCTTAAGTCCTTACCTTTTTGCGTTGGTAATGGATGAGTTAACAGGACATATTCAAGATGATATTCCTTGGTGTATACTTTTCGCAGACGATATAGTGTTGATAGATGAAACTCAAGAAGGGGTAAATGCGAAGCTTAACCTTTGGAGAGAAGTGTTGGAATCTAAAGGTCTTCGCCTAAGCCGATCAAAGACAGAATATATAGAGTGCAAGTTCAGTGCAAATGGAGGCCAAAATGAGTTAGGGGTGAGGATCGGAGATCAGGAAATACCAAAGAGCGATCGTTTTCGCTACTTAGGATCTATCTTGTAAAAGAACGGAGAATTAGATGGAGATCTCAACCATAGAATACAAGCTGGATGGATGAAGTGGAAGAGCACATCTGACGTGTTGTGTGATCGCCGTATGCCACTGAAGCTCAAGGAAAAATTTTATAGGACGACAATAAGGCCGGCGATGCTGTATGGCACAGAATGTTGGGCGGTGAAGCATCAACACGTACACAAAATGGGTGTAGCGAAGATGAGGATGTTTCGTTGGATGTGTGAGCACACGAGAAATGATAAGATTAGGGATGAAGATATCCGAGGTAAAGTAGGAGTAGCCGAAATTGTAGGAAAGCTGAGAGAAAATCGGTTACGGTGGTTTGGACATGTGCAAAGAAGGCCTACTGACGCTCCGATTAGAAGATGCGACTACGAGACAGAGGTTCAGGGCCGAAGGGATAGAGGAAGACCTAGGAAAACTTTGGAAGAGACTCTAAGAAAAGACTTAGAGTACTTGGATCTAACGGATGACATGACACAGGATCGAGCACAATGGCGTTCTAAGATTCATATAGCCGACCCCACTCAGTGACTTGAATTTTTCAAGTCTCCAACCGAGAAGTTTTCATCACTCGGGAAATTAAGGGAACACTACCTCAACCTACATGCTCCACTCACAAAGCTTCAACATACAAGCTTCAACAAAAGAAAAAATCAAAGAACTTAGTGAAGAAAGCTTTGATGTATTTAACACAATACGTTGAAATGAAGCAAAACTTATTTATAGATATCTCCGATAAGTTACAAATATGTACATATACATGAGTCAAAATAAACAAACAAGAGGGAGCCTTCACAAAGGTTGCTTAGGAGAAGTCTCAGCAGTCGGTAGAGCCTCAGAAAGAGAAGGCACCGGAGGGGGATCATTTGGAGCCTCAGTACTGGACAGAACCCTAGAAGGAGGAGGCATCAGAGGTTGATCATTTGGAGCTTCATTATGCGGTACAGCCCCAAAAAACAAAGGCAATAAATGCCTTTGGAACAAACCCACAAACCGCTGATGATCAAGTAAAACCTGACCATCAGATTCCTTCATCTGGTCAAGCTTCATCTTCATGTTTGTAGCATAGTCATGTGCGAGCCGGTGCAACTGTTTATTCTCATGCTTGAGCCTTCTAATCTCCTGTTTGAGACTCATCACTTCAGCCGCCAATGATTCAACTTGGCGGGTTCGAGCAAATAGGCGTTGCGCCATATTAGACACAGAACCTACACACTGAACACTCAGAGCCAAAGAATCCTTAACAGCTAACTCATCAGACCATTTGGAAAGTAGTCTGTTATCTTTGGGAGTGAGAAGGTTCCTGGCCACCACCGCAGTGGTCATATCATTTTTCATCACGAAATCCTCAACGGTAAGAGGACAAGTAGGGGATAAGAAGGATGGGCGCCATATGTTATCTGGAGAAGGCGTGGTTGCCTCTTCAACAAGGTTCAAGTCAAAACGACGGTCGGATGGGCCAGACATTTTCAAAGGTGTTGAAGAGAGAAGAGGTCGGACAAATCAAGATCTTAGAAGTGCAAAAAGGGAGCTTCTACTGGTGGAGATTCAAGTGTGCTTTGGAACTTAATGTCAGCCTCTATAAAAATCTGCACTCGACGGAGCTTCAGAAATCGAAGAGGCGCCTATCCAGAAATCGAAGAGGCGTTTGCTTTCTCAAAAGTTGGGCTGCTTAGAGACCACGAGGGCCGATCTCAGAAATCGAAGAGGCGTTTACTTTCTCAAAAGCTGGGCTGCTCGAAGACCACGAATGCCGATCTCAGAAATTGAAGAGGCGCTTGCTTTCTCAAAAGCTGGGCTGCTCAGAGACCATGAGGGCCAATCTCAGAAATCGAAGAGGCACCTGCTTTTCAGCCTTGTCAGCACCTGTCATATGCACACTCAGCTTTGCTGAAATTACGGGCATTCTGTTGAAGATTTCTGGTGAAGTAGAAAGCACGTGAATCTTACTGTTCAATCATCCACTTTCCACACGCACCATCAGCTCATGGGTACCACAGATAACTTTGCCAAAGATCTCTGACAAAGTTTAGACACGTGAAGCTTGCAGCTCCCACTACATCGCTATGACCAAGAAAGGTAAAAGAATAGTAAAGAAACAACATTAACAAAGTTTAGACACATAAATTTTGAAGGTCTAGCTACCATATTATTACCCACAAGGGTAAAGGAACAGCACCACGGCTGGATAATTGGAAAGTCCCTGTGTGTCAACCTCTGTGCTCCGTG